CACATTTTAATAAACCTTAAGACAGTTGCTATGCTGCGAATAAGCCTTGAATAATTAGAAAACCGATTGAAATCTATGAATGCATTATTACAGTGCTTAGTTTCACTAACACTAGCGCTAAACGAAATAGGTCGAGTTTCAGGCAGCTTATCTGACTCTAACCATTTTTGTTGAGAAGGCCAATGAGACGGTTCTTGCTTTAAAAAACTAGGGCCACTCCACCACAAATCCAATGATTTCAGAACACTAATATCCACGCCACGAGATATTAGGTCTGCTGGGTTCTGATGGGTTGGGATGTGTCGCCAAGTACAATGTCCCGCCTTGTCTAAAACTTCAGCAACTCGATTTCGCACGAACGGCTGTAACTTAGAAGGCAACATCTGCAACCATCCCAACACGACTGTGGAGTCAGTCCAGCAATAAATTTGACTAAATTGTAGTCTCAGTGAGTTCACGACCTTCTCGCACAAACGAGCTCCTACAACAGCCCCACACAATTCCAGTCTTGGAATGGTGGTCGGCTTGATCGGCGCCACTCGACTTTTAGCGACCAATAAACTAACCATAAATTTACCCTGGTCATTGGTGCTGCGCACATAGGCGCAGGCGCCATACGCACGCTCAGATGCGTCCGTGAAAATGTGTAATTCTGCGTTCGTAAATGAATCACACACGAGTCGTGGAACACGGAAATCATTGATAAGTGGCAATGCTTTCACAGTGTTATTCCAAATATCATTAAGTGCCGGGGTTAACGGCTCATCCCATGAGAGTTTATCCAACCACATTCTTTGTAATAACATTTTCATGGTAACTACGCAAGGAGATAAAAGTCCTAGGGGGTCAAAAATACGTGCAATGGCAGAAAGTATGTCTCGCTTAGTCGCAGAAACTTCAGAAGATAGCGTAGAACATGAAAAGCCCAATTCATCGGAACTAGCAAACCAGTCAAGTCCTAACAACTTGTTGGGTTCATTAGAGCCCATATCTAAATCTAACGACGACTGTGAAGCTCCAGATACTAATTCAGGTACGTTGGATCTCCACTTTCTGAGTGGCATACAAGCAGACGCCAGTGCGTTGGTGACCTCGGTGCGCATGAACATAACCTCATTTAAATCATCACCTCCAGTCAGCAGGTCATCAACGTAAAAGTCATGCTTGATGACGTCAGCGATCCTATCTCTGATACCTGGGTATGACTCACCTACAGAATGCGAACACATCTTAATAGCGCTGTTTTGATAGTCAATACCTATTTGCTTTAGACAGCGCGTAGCGAGAAATGGTGCACTAGCCGTACCATACGTTACAGTATTTAATGTGTACGTCTTAACAGGGTCGCAAGCATTATCACGCCACAGTACCTGTTGTAGGTATCTATCAGATGGGTGGACGTATACACACCTGTACATCTTCGCAACATCAGCTGACAAGACGAACTTGTGCTGTCGAAACCGAAGAAGTACAGATATAAGATCGTCCTGCACCGTAGGACCAACCATTTGCAGATCATTGAAGGACACTCCCGAAGAAGTAACACAACTCGCATTAAAGACTACACGGAGTTTGGTAGTAGTGCTACATTCACGCAGTACCCCGTGGTGAGGTATAAAATAGCCATTGGGACTGTCACTATTTTGATTTTCGGTCATGTGTCCTAAAGTCTCATATTCGGACATGAAGTCGCGATATAATTTACCTAAATCAGGTTTTGACTTTAGTCTGCGTTCCAAAGAATATAAACATTTAGAAGCTCTTTGAAAAGATTCTCCTAAGATAGAAGGACTTTGCTTTAAAGGAATACGAACACAAAAATGACCGTCCTCTAAACGTGTCGTATTCTCGACAAAATGTTCCTCACACAACTTTTCCTCGGGTAAATAATTTGGAGATTGCGAGTTAACCTCCTCTAAATTCCAAAATTTTATTAAATCTTTGTGAATTTTATTTAAATCACCGTTACCAGAGGGATCGGTTTGAGTAAAATTACATGAGATATCATGCGAAAATGATTTACTATTATTATTATAACTAACAGGCCCAGATACAATCCAGCCTAACAATGTTTCACATAAAACTGGCTTATCTAAACCTAAATGAATTCTTTGTGAACTGACCAGGTCCCAAAAGAGATCAGCACCGATTAAGACATCCACTTCTGACGGCTTATAAAAGGTGGGGTCAGCTAAACACAAGGTATCAGGAATATTCAGGTCTGAAATGTCGACTTCACGACATGGCACCACAGTCGTTAATGATGGCAAAATAAAACAATAAAACTTATTGCAATAGCTATTGTCTAATGACGTCATTTTGACTTGACAAATTTTGCCTACGCGAGAACTCACGTTATTAATGCCATATACTGAACCATTTACCTGACTAGAATTTAAGTTAAGCCGTTTATATAATCGTTCCGTCATAAAACAAGACGTGCTACCGCTATCAAGCATGGCCCGCACTATGTGCTCACGATCATTTTGATCACATAACTTGATAAGAGCGGTGGACAATAACACGCCGCGTTGTTTACGCTCGCCACAAGATGAACTGAGGGCCGCCGACAACGTTAAATTATTTGCACTCGCAGTCGCATTAGTGCTCGTTACGGCGTCAGTGGGCAATGACGTTGATACGGGATGAGACGAACTCCCGTTTGACATGGTTTTATGATTATTATTACTAGAGTTTGTAGTACTTTTGTTCTCCGACGAATGTATTAACGTGTTATGCCGACGCTTACATATTTTGCAACCCGGCCTTTTACATCGATTGGCAAAGTGACCTGCACGAAAACAATTATAGCAGACCTTATAACTAGGTAATAATTTGATACGGGCGTCTATACTAAGTGCAAGAAATGCTGAACAATTACTTAGAATGTGATCGGCTTGACAGTGGGGACATTGCTTACTAGAACTATTATAATCCTGTGATATAACCATAGATTGCATCGCATTATAATTGGACTTAGGCTTAGCAACAGTGGGATTATTGCTATTTCGTGTTAACTCTAGTGTTTCTACTAAATCAGCGCGAGTGCGAATAAATTGCAGGAATGCATCAAATGTTATTGTGCTATCTTTGTCTATGCGACCTTTGTGTTCCTCCCACTCACGATATGTTTGCTGACTTAACTTACGAGTAACTATGTATATAAGCAAAGTGTCCCAATGCTGAACAGGTTCACCTAAAGATTCTAAAGTGCGCAAATTCTTGTTAAGTTGGTCGATCATACCTTTTAACGCAACAGAGGATTCCTTTGAAATAGTGTTTAAGTTAAATAAGGATGACACATGATTTTGTACTAACAACCTTTTGTTATCGAAGCGATCACAAATTAGCTTCCAAGCTATATCATAATTGCTTGCCGAGAACCCAATAGAATTGATTACCACAGCAGCAGATCCCTCCAGAGACGCTCGCAAATAATGAAACTTGTTAATTTGATCAATTTCATCGTTACAGTGAATGAGACTAGTAAAAGTGTCCCGGAACTCCAACCAATTGCTATAACACCCATTAAACTTTGGTAGCTGTATAGTGGGCAACTTAACAGGTTTACGTTGACTAATACGGGAACATTTATCACTATTTACGGACTCATTATCATTTTTATACTTACTTATCAACTCATGTGACCTAGACAGTGTTTTGTAATACAGGGACTCAAACTCGGCACGTTCAGAGAACTGAGCCTTGACATCATCTACCAAACATTCTAATCGCAACTGTACCTCGTCGTACTGCTCATATAAAGCCTCGATTTTACCCATCCGTAACTGTAATTCCTTGATCTCACAACTAGTCAACTGCTTGTTACTCGATGCATCAAGGAAGTTGTGAAATGCAGTTAAACGGCCCTTGAAACTTCCTCGTTTTTTAACTAATTCTCTTTCTTCGGACATACTGGGAACCGAGTGTAGTCAACCTGGAATTGATTTGATAACAATTCAATTTTGACCAAATTCCTAAATACCGATATACTAATTACCTAACGTCGGAAATTAAGGACAATACAATAATTGATTATTTATTATGTACACTAATACGGTTTTATTAACTGAATTATAGCAAATTAAATTCTTTAATATCTATCTAACGCCAACTAAACATTAATAATACCTACCTACACACTAACAACTATCTAAGGTGAAAAATTAACTAAAATGCAACTATACAATTATAAATGTAGCAAATATCTACTGTACTTCACTGTTACAATGAGTACGTATAATTGTATTCGCAAATAATCATCATTAAAGACGATAAGGCAAACTATTCACAATGCGCATAGGTATCTACGTTAAACTCAGGACAAAACAGCACTGACCTTTTAATATCCTTAATTATGGTTACATACTACCTGACCGAGTGTTGGGTGATGATATTTTACTATAATGTTACTATAAACACCGTAAATTATCTTGAAGTTTTTTGTCCAGATATCCGTTATCGGGTTATACCCTCCACGGCAAATTTCAATGTAATTATTCAATTCCGCTGTTTAATAATTATCTTCAAGAAATCCAACATCCGGCTCGAATGACCACATGTAGGGGAAATGAATAGGGACTCTTCATAAAAACTCCAAAATAGTATCTTATAAAAATACGTGTATTGCCTTGATGACGAACAAAGATGGAATGAATGAACTTAAAATTAATTAACCCCAATTGGCTTGCGCGTGTATTTGCTATCTGCAAACGAGCAGGCTCTTTGCTCGGACAATAATCATCGAAATCGGTTGGTGTGATATCGAGTTATTCATCTATTTGTCGCGCACGTACTTAATGCAAATTTAAGACTTATATGTTTTTCTCATGGATACCATTATCAGAACTGGACTAAGCTTTCTAATAAAAAAAGAATCATCAAAATCGATTCACCCAATCAAAAGTTACGAGGTAACACACTTTAAAAAAAAACATACAGTCGAATTGAGAACCTCCTCCTTTATTGAAAAAAATACAATCTTATACGTTTGCTTGCAGATGCTCGGCATGTCTGAACGTGAATTCATGGATCAAATGGGCGTTTACTTCGTCGGCTTCGTGTCGCAATACGGCTACGACAGAGTTTTATCAGTGCTGGGACGTCATATGCGAGACTTCCTGAACGGGCTGGATAATCTCCACGAGTACCTGAAGTTCAGTTACCCCAGGATGAGAGCGCCGAGTTTCATTTGCGAAAATGAAACTCGACAAGGCTTGACGCTACATTACAGGTCGAAGAGAAGAGGCTTTGTTTATTACGCTATGGGTCAGATTCGGGAGGTGAGTTAATAAATCAATTAAGTCTCAAATTGATAGAAATGCTTTGAGAAATCGTCATAAAAAGTGTCGTTACGGATGTGACACGATGTCAAATATTACTTCGAGACTTAAAAAAAACATATTGATTGAAAATCTGATCCGTTGCTTGCTATTTACAATCCGACAGAAATTTTAAATTCACAAAAAGGTTGGAGGCGCCGGGTATCGATCCCGGTACCTCTCGCATGCTAAGCGAGCGCTCTACCATCTGAGCTACGCCCCCCGTTACATATAGATGGAAAATTATGCATTATATCCTATATAATAAAAACCATTCAATAAAAAAAGATTTTTGGAAATTTAAGTAAAACTAGCTTTAATGACAACTTAGTGATAACTAGTCTAGCCTGATCTTTCCTGATGACTAACTTTAATTATTTTAGTATTTACCTTAAAATGCAAGCTGTTGCCGTTCTAAATTTTGAGTTCGATTTATTCCGTTATCTGAAAGGCTTAAGTTACAGTATTGGGTTACTAATATGATACAAAAAAACTTTCTATCGAGACAAAAATATTTTTTATCGATAGCGACATCTATTAGACAAGCTATAGAAGAATTTTCCATTAAATAGTTTGAGCGTACCAATAGATGTCGCTTTTCTTGAAATAAATAATATTTTAAATGAATACATATTGATACTAATTTTATTAGTTAATTATAGGTAGTAATACGAATTCTTATTGTAGACTACTAAGCTGTCCATAAAGCATCAATAAAAAAAACAAAAGAGGTATGATTCGTATACAATTAAACAGACATGTCATTCGATTATAATAAAAACAAACTTAATTTAGTGCTTGAAAATTTTAGCGAAGATTCTAAATTGCAAATAATAGGCTACCAATTTAGAGCGGTGAATGTGAATTAGGAAAATTGTTGCACTTGATGTCAATAGCATTGCTCAAAATAAACTTTACACAATAATGTGTGATTATTATCGACTAGTTCCACGTAAATTAGATGTTATTAGAAGAATGTAAGCAGTAAGGATTTTTAGATATTTTAGCGATAATATCAAATGGAAAGAATTTATTAAGTCTTTTTCTTTGCATTGAACACTCCAGCCTCAACTGAAACGCGAGGTCAATGTACTCGTAATAAACGCGCATTAACCGCCAGATCTTCTTTGCTTTACATTGCGGGTCTAAAAAATAAAAATTTAGGAAATAATATATTATTATTATACTTTTATGCTAAAGTGTTAACGCTATATATCTTCTAAAACTATTCTCTTACTCCCTGGATATTCACAGGGATATATTTAAGCTAACAGAGGCATTTTAGGATAATGTTGCCATTGCAACTAATATATTATTTTAACATCGGATTCTTTACTGACTATTGTCCCATTTTACGGGTAACAATCGTTGGATGATACGGAAGGACGCAGAGATTTGTAGGCGCGACATTTACCTACGGTGAGCCATAGGCACCCCGCGCACTAGGCAGCCAGGCTGCGGCAACCGAAATATTTAAGCAGCCAGTTATAGCAGCCAATCAACGCCAATTTATGATCTATTCGTCGAGCACTTTGGATTTTATCTCGTAAAAAACGCAAAGCAAAGAAAATACACTGGATCCATCCTCTTTTTATAGAACGGCATTCAAAAGGCTTATTCTATAACTTTTTTAAAGATGTTCATATATACCCAGACCGTTTTTTTTTAAATACAAGAGATTGTACAAGTATGCTGTGTCATATAACTAACATTTGGCAAAACGAATATGCATTGGCTGCTACAGCAAGTGCGCGGGGTCTGACGGCAGCCACATACATTCGCCAACACTCGCTCTGGCTGCCGTGCAACAGGCGCGTTGTATTGGCTGTCGCAGTCAAGATTTCCTGTCTGCTTATGTGCGCGGATTCCTATACAACGCCATATATTCGTCTGGCTGCCGTAGCCAGGCTGCCTAATGCGTGGGGAGTCTAAGAAGGCTTTTAGTCAACGAATTTATTTTACAGGTAGCCCGCCACTTCTACCACAAGGAAATGCGAATAGAGTTGGTCAGGGAAGAGTTATTATTCGACACAGTCCACGTGACCTTTCAACTGACATTCGATAACAGAGCGTTCACTTTAGCGTCTCTCGCGATGACCAGAGAAGAGAAACATCTGCCGATCAGCGCTTCGGTACTCTTCGAGATCTTTCCGTTTTGCATAGTCTTTGGGTGAGTGAATGGCATTGATATTATATAAGATAGCCCATGTTTTTTTTAAATTTCTAACAGATGTAAAAAAAACACACACACACTCCTCTACCTTTTTTTTTATTGCTTAGATGGGTGGACGATCTCACAGCCCACCTGGTGTTAAGTGCTTACCGGAGCCCATAGACATCTACAACGTAAATGCGCCACTGGCCGTCGCTTCGCTTCGGAAACTGTAATTTACTATTGATTTTTCCACTATTTAATGGATGTTATTATCATATAAACCTTCCTCTTCAACCACTTTAAAAAAACCGGTATTTAAAAAAAACGCAACAAAATCCGTTGCGTCGTTTTAAAGATTTAAGCATACATAGGGATATAGGGACAGAGAAAGCGACTTTGTTTTATATTATACTATGTAGTGATGAAGAGTGGCCAACTGGTAGATCGCCGTGGGGGCTACGGACCGTCGAGGCGGTTTACCCGGTCTTTGATGACTGGGTGAATCGTGGCGAAGGACGTCTCACCTTTCGTCTGGTGCAGGTGTAGACCGGGCACGGATGCTTCGGGAAGTACCTGCGCCGGATAGGGGCTGAGCCGACGACGAGGTGTCACCATTGTGGACACGACCTGGAAACGGCGGAGCATACGCTCGCTGTCTGCCCCGCTTGGGAGGTGCAGCGCCGTGTCCTGGTCGCAAAGATAGGACCTGACTTGTCGCTGCCTGGCGTCGTGGCGTCGATGCTTGGCAGCGATGAGTCATGGAAGGCTATGCTCGACTTCTGCGAGTGCACCATCTCGCAGAAGGAGGCGGCGGGGCGAGTGAGGGAAAGCTNCGTCGATGCTTGGCAGCGATGAGTCATGGAAGGCTATGTTCGACTTCTGCGAGTGCACCATCTCGCAGAAGGAGGCGGCGGGGCGAGTGAGGGAAAGCTCTCCTCACTACGCAGAAACCCGCCGCCGCCGAGCAGGGGGTCGGGACCGGGGTCGTATCCGTGACCTGGCCCCCTAAGAGCTAGGGGTCCCACCCGTTTTGTGCGGGGAGAGACCCAGACGTGGGATGGCGTGCTTTGCACGCCCAACCGCAATAGAAAGCCGGGTGATGGTAGACCGCGTTCCCCCGACCGCTCTGGGGGAAGGTGTAACGCGGCGCCATCAAAGCGGGCTCTCGGCCCGCTGAACGAGGGAACCGGTGGTCGTGTCGCTGGCGGCCACCGGTCCGGCGTCCGTGGGACGGTGGGATGGATGTAATGTGCCTCTGCGTCAACCCTGTCCCGCCGTTTCAATAGCCCCGACTGGGCTCCGGCCCGGTCCGAGGTAGGGCGCCGGTTGTGAGCGGCAGGAGTTTTTAGTGAGGTTCAACTCCCACATACCCCACCTGCCGCGCGGGTGGGGATCCGGCGATTTTCTCCTGTGGAAAAAAAAAAAACTGGTAGATCGCGATCGACCGGTCGATCATGGCTATTAGTTCAGTCGATCAAGGCTAGACAAAAAAATATAAATAAATACATAGAACAGACTGCGCAACGTAAGTAATCACCAATTGCTGCACGCATGATCTTCATCTTTTATCATCTGTTAATGATCATTACGTCACATTATTTATCCTCTCTCCCACACAATAGTTCTCTTTTTATATATAATTTCAGCTTTATGTTAATCTTTTCAATAAAAGAAAATATAATACTTTGGGTGGACGAGCTCATAGCCCACCTGGTGTTAAGTGGTTACCGGAGCCCATGGACATCTGCAACGTAAATGCGCCACCCACCTTGAGATATTAGTTCTAAAATCTCAGTATAGTTACAACAGCTGTCCCACCCTTTAAACCGAAACGCATTACTGCTTCACGGCAGAAATAGGCAGGGCGGTGGTACCTACCCGTGCGGACTCACAAGAGGTCCTACCACCAGTAAAGTATTTTTATACTGAACTATATTGTTTCACTTAAATTTCAAGAAATATCATTAGTAGATTGTAGTGTTACCTCAGTAAGCAGTAGGTATTACTTGGTTCTAATCAAGTTGACCACCCTTGATATAGAGCATCTTCCGAATGCGGGTCAGTGCCGCCTTCCAGTAGAATTCTTTTGCAATGCATATTTTAAGACTACGATATTCGTTTTCAATCTAATTAGAATATCGACCCCGTTGTTTACAGACATAAATGAAACCCGCAAAATTATAATTTGCGTAATTACTGGTGGTAGGACCTCTTATGAGCCCGCGCGGGTGGGTACCACCACCCTGCCTATTTCTGCCGTGAAGCAGTAATGCGTTTCGGTTTGAAGGGTGGGGCAGCCGTTGTAACTATACTTGAGACCTTAGAACTTGTATCTCAAGGTGGGTGGCGCATTTACGTTGTGGATGTCTATGGTCTCCAGTAACCACTTAACACCAGGTGGGCTGTGAGCTCGTCCACCTACATAAGCTATAAAAAAAAAAAAAATAAGCCAATAGATCTTTGAAATCAACATACAATACAAAACACACCGAGCCACAAAACAGTCCCAATCTTATTTTTACTACACGCTAAATAGTTATTTAATCAGCGGGGAGTATATTAGTTTCCGATACAAATAATGGATTATTTTATGTTTACGTTCTAGATTAACGACCACCACTCTTTTTGTAAACATATTATTGGCCTTTATATGAGGTCATGAGAGGCAAAACGGACTTACAGATTACATTTCGCCTGACCATCTTAACCGAATGTCTCTAACATGAACTAACACTAGATAATGACCGAGCTTTTGTCGTTGTTTTTTTTTTGTTTTTTGATAAATTGTGTTTTTTAGAAATTATATTTAAATACGAATTAAAAATTGATATAATGGTGAAATATGAATAATATTTTTCGATTTTACCGACAGAATAATTAAAAAAATATGAACAGGTTATTTAAAGAAAAAAATCAAAATTATCGATAAAGTTGATTATTGAAATCATGATTAAAACCACATTTTCTGAAAATAAACCGTAGCTAGATCGATTTATCGCCCTCAAAATCCCCTGTATACTAAATTTTATGAAAATCGTTGGAGCCGTTTTCGAGATTTAGATTATATAGATATATATATTTATATACAAGAATTGCTCGTTTAAAGATATAAGATAGTTCTTGTTTCTCGATGTCAAAGTATTACGACAATTGCTTCCTGCCAGAGATGGGCTTGCTTGTAATTTTTACCCGTTCGGCTTACCACAATACACTATAGTACCGACTTCAAATTAATACAAAATGATTACAGCTTTCGAAACATCGGTAACTTTAAATTAAGATAAACAAATGCGTGGTTAAAGAGAAAAATCTTCTTCAATTTTTTTAATGCTTTAACGAACTCTTTTTTTTTTTTTTTTTTTTTTCTACAGGAGAAAATCGCCGGATCCCCACCCGCGCGGCAGGTGGGGTATGTGGGAGTTGAACCCACTAAAAACTCCTGCCGCTCACAACCGGCGCCCTACCTCGGACCGGGCC